CTCCTGACTCGTCATCTTGAGATGCCTTAGCTGGTGAATCGCGCCTCACCGGAGTGACAGACATTGCGCGCATGCAGTCCGCACGGTGCGTATTTCCTCCTTTTTTCTTTTCTTTTAACACCCAAACTCTCCAGATCGTGATCTCTTTTCATCTCTTATCTCTGCATAGTTTGCGTCTCCGCCGTCTTCTTGTCCCCACCTGCTTTCCTCACCCTCGCTTTCCCCACCCATCATCCTGCACTTTGTGGAGTTGCGGTTCTTGCTCTCGCAAGTAACCGGGACCTCGCAAATGTGTCTCGTGCACGTCGCTAACCCCCGCGCAATTGCTCGGGGGTCATCGGCGGGCACGAAAAATTGCACCCAGTCAAACGGGTATCGGGATCCCCGTGCCCCATACATGACCCGCGGGGGAAATAACGGGTAACCCGTACCCGAACGCTCGGGTACGGGTATTGCATCGGGTTCGGGGCGGGAGTGCTTCTGAGCACCCGTACCCGACCCGTGCTATTCACTACTCGTCAAGTGGAGCCGCTGCTGCGAGACCTCAATTTAAATGCAACAGCCTGATGTGTGATGTGTGTGACTAACAGCTATTGACGCGCCAACTGAACATGCAAAGCAGGCTAAGTAGTAACACTGACGAAAACTAAACATGAAATCAACACTGACCAAAAGACTGATGAAACCTAAGCATAAGATGATGATTAGGCTACTCAAACCCAGGTAAAGAGTGACTTCAAGACCCGACACTCGCAGCAGGACCACTCGGAGTTGCTTTTTGGAGTTTTCCAGGAGTACTTAGCTGAGTTGTATCTGAGCCTCCGGTGAAAGATACTTGTGTGTCATTACGAAGGTTCTGTGAAAGCGGCTCAGTGAAAAGTCAGAGGCCTGACTGAGATTGTCTGGAAGGAAGGAAGTCGATACACGGCCCGGAGGAACGCCGCACCGCCACCTTAACGACGTCATCGCACCTGCTCCCGACCATCATCGCCCTACCGACCGGCCAAGAACGCGAGCCCAGCGCATTTACGACCACTCGTTCGGATAGTTAAAACCACCCAGCACGACAGCATGAGCGATGCAGGCTCTGAATGTTGCGCCGTCATCTGTGCGGTATGCGCCGGCGCGTGCTTGGACTGGATTAGCATGCGTACGTCTCCTCGACTCACGCTGTAGTATATATTAAAAACGCTCTTGCATATAGGACACACTTGGACGGAGAATATATTTGGATGCCGCTGCTCGTCCGATGACGATGACGAGGGTCAAGCGGAAGGTGAAAGGGCACCACTACTGGCGGAGCAACAGCAGCCCAGGATGCAGCCGGAGATGAGAGTGGGTGGGACGACGGCGATGAACACGACGAGCGCGGGAATGGGCGCGATGGCACCGGTTGCAGCGTCGGCGTCGTAGGCAGAACTAGGCATGTTCTGTGGGTTGACGGGGGCTTTTGATTAGGTGCGCTGCCTTTAACGTTCATCTGTCTTGCTCACCGAAGTTTAGGACGTGGTGTACTATTATCGGCTGTATCTATCTGTGTAAAATATTCGACGACACAATCTTTATCCCCTATATATCAGGATGTCATTGGTTGGCCGTGTAACCTTGGTGTAACCACGCGTCAAGTCTTTCACGCCTTCGCTGCATGCATCCTCTAGCTATCGAGGTCACCACCGCCTCGCCCATCCTCCTCTTTCTTTCCGAGCCAGATGCCCTCATGCTGATTCCATTGAAATGGAACGTTGACGTTAGTTCGAAAATGATCGCCCCGCGAGATTGACATCTCCCGCCAACACTTCCACTTCTTTCGTACCGCAGAAACAAGATTGGATTATGGATTTACCTAGCGTTTTCCCCCACGTCTCACACGTTGTGGCACGGTCCAGACAGACAGTTATCAGGCGCGAGGAAAGATAGCGCGCAAATGAAATGCACCATTAAGGCGCGGAGTGAAGTGAGTACCACACAAGTCCGGCCAACAATGACGCGGCCCACTGACCGCGAGAACCATTTCAGTCCGGAAACCCTTCCACTCACTTTCATCAGGGAGGCACAGCACGCACGATTTTCTTCTAACTAGGCGCGAATTCTACAGCACCTTATTCACAGTGGACAGGTACTTAGTGCCAGCAACTCAAGCACCAAATTGCTACCCCTCAGCTTCGCGCTTTCGTCGCGTAAGTTGTAACGCAACCTTAACCTTGTCCACAGGCGCGGCGCAGCCTCGCCGTCTCAAATTATGATAAAGGTTCATCATGTCGTGAGAAGTGCTGCAGTATTTCGACCTCGGTCATCGGGCGTCGACCTTGCGACGAACCAAAACTTGGCACCTCGGTCATCGGTCACAGGCTCTCTGGAGGTCCTCCCAAAACTCCAAGAAAATAATTTAAAAGGACGATTGATCTGTATCCTTGTAGCCAACGCTTTACTCTTCTCAGACTTCCCCAGTTCAAACGCTGCCGCATGTCTTTTGAACCAGAAGTCCCCTTGACACAATACGGCAGAACGAGAAGGAGGGCGCTGTCGATTCCAATACGAATACCGACGAGCACGTCCCGCCCATGACGATTTCCCAGACGGCGGGCTACGCGCATGGTTGGTCGTCATCGGGGTGCGTCTTCCTCTTTTCCTTTCTTGCAATCTCTCTCGCGGTTTCCTGACGATTACCCATAATGTAGGCGATGTGCATCACGTTCACGACGTAAGCGTCCGCCTCCGACGCAGATTACAGCTAATTCTCTCTTGCTGATTCTCATTTTAGATTCGGATACGTCAATTCCTGGGGTGTACGTTTCCCTTTTGGCGCGTCCGTGTGCTATGTTTGACGACATGTTACAGGTTTTTCAGTCGTATTATCAAAGTGATATCTTGAAGGTACGCCGCCGTCTAATATGTGCGTTTTTATGTTGTATAGGGTATGAGGACTGAATGCTATTTCTGTTTAGAGCGTGGATAGGATCCATACAATACTCCCTGGTCTTCCTCCCTGCTCTAGTCGCCGGCCGTCTGTTCGACCTGGGGTATCTCCATCCTTTGTTGTTAGGATCCAGTGCGCTTCTCGTTACAGCGACATTTCTCGTCGCAGAGTGTCATGAGTACTGGCAGTTCCTGCTCTGTCAAGGGTTCGCTGTTGGTGTACGTACCCACGCAGACTTTTCTGTTTCTTTGTGTTTGCTCAAGAGTATTCAACAGCTCGCATGTGGAGGAATTATGAACCCAACCACTGCCGTAATCGCACACTGGTTTAAACGCAAGAGGGGACTCGCTATGGGTGTGATGGCTATGGGATCTTCGTTCGGCGGCACACTCATCCCCATCGCTGCGAGGAACCTCATTCCTAAAGTCGGGTACGGGTCCACCTTTTCTTCGGATTCCTCCCTAACACACCCTAGCTTTCCATGGACAATGCGCATCATCGGGTTCATCCTCCTCGTAGGCCTCGGCCTCGCCAACCTCCTTGTCAAACGCCGCTTCCCCCCAGTCCCAACCCCGGCGGGCTCTTCAACCTCGCGCCTTCCGCTCCCCGCCTTTTCGTTCTACTGCGCCTCGACCTTTACTTCCTTCCTCGGCATATACACCGTCCTCACCTATATTGACGTCTTGGCGACTGCGCATGGTGTAGACGCGAATTTTTCGTTCTATCTGGTGTCGATCGCTAACGCCTCGTCCGGGTTGGGGAGGTATTGTGCAGGGATACTGGCGGATAGGATCGGACCGATGAATGTGATGATCCGTTTACGACTGTGGCGGCCGTTGTTACGTTTGCATGGCCGTTTGCAGTGGATAAGGGAGGGCTGATCGCTATTGCGCTTGTTTATGGGTATGCGCTTCTCGCAAGTAATAGAGCAGATGCTGATCGTGGTTTGTGAAAGGTGTGCATCGGGCTCGTTTGTGTCGCTGCTGGCCAACCCGGTCATGGAGTTTGGCGACGCGTCAGATGTGGGGAGGAGGATAGGGATGATGATGAGTATTTTGGCGCTTGGCGGGCTCGCCGGCCCACCCATTTCTGGTGCGATCAACACTTCAACGGGTGGGTTCGAGGCGGTGGGGTATTATGCCGGTACGCCATCTTGACTGATATCTACTCATTCGGTGCTGACTGCGTTTTGTAGGTAGTGCTGTCCTGGTTGGCGTGGGCTTGATGCTCGTCAGTCGCTATTTCGGTTTGAAAGGCCTATATGGCAAGTTCTAAAGTAGATAGCTCAGATGCTCATATCGATCCGTCCGCGTGCTATTCAATCCAGTTTCTTCTCTACCTCCGTAGATACGCCCCTCACTCTCGTTCTATTTTACCTTATAGTCGGCCACTCAAGTCTCGATTGCCCCAGTCTTTCCGCGGTACATATTGTGCTTTCTGCTATATTGACTACTAGTATACTCTTTCATAGACTCAGGTTGTTTGTCTAGGTATATCAAAATAGTCTTTCAGTGCTTCACACAAGCTTCATACCGCTTGGGACTCTCGTTGTCTTCTAGTATCGAGAAGTGCTGAGTGCGTATTCCATAGAACAAATAGATTGTGCCGCCGATACCACATGATTTCCATGACGGGCCAGATGTTCAGACATTGAGCGCACACAGCGTAGCCGTCTTGATTAGTTGTAGTTCCTTCAAGTTAGCGGGACAGTAGTCACGGCCTTCTTGAATGAAGTTGAGAACACAGTAACATCGAAAGACATCTAGGAGACGGCGGTATGGTCAGGCGTCGACACTAGTCGTGATTGATGACCACTTGCTCAGCCCAGGTGAGGACGTGCTGTATGTTGTACTAGTATTATCGGTTGCATCTATCTGTGCAATACATTGTTCAGAAAAGTCTCCGCCATTTCAGGGCGCCACATCCTGTCTTGTAACCTAGAGGCTATTTGTCGAATTTCTCATGGCCTCGCTGCATATGTACTCCATTTCTCCATGCTATAAGTTCTTTCACACTTCTTCAAGTTCTTGCACGAGAATTCCTTTTGTCGCTACACATTTTAACGACCTTCACAGTACTTGCAGGTTCAGTGGTCTAGTGGTTATGATTTCTGTCTCACATACCCCATGAAGAGTTTAGCGGTTAGTCACAGAAGGTCCCCGTTTCGATCACGGGCTGAACCAAGTTTTTGAAAGATTCGCTGCCTATTTATCTGACTGGCGTTCAGTCTTGACTCTCCTAGTTTTCAGCGTCGGGCAAGTTGAACAATGAAGTGAATTGAAGTGGTCAATTCATGTCGTCGCTATGACCGACAACAAGTGCGTCTTCGAAACATCAGTGCATTACCGGTCACTAGTACATCTACCATTCTTTGACCGACCCATGTACTTCAGAACTTGCCGTATAGACCCTTCAAAACGAAATAGCGACTGACGACCATCAGGCCCACACCGACCAGAACAGCACTGCCTACGAAAGACACTCAGCAAGGATACGTAGTAGCATAGAGGGACATCGCTTACCTGCATAATACCCCACCGCTTCGAACCCACCCGTCCCGGTATTGATCGCACCCGATATCGGCGGGCCAGCGAGCGCGCCAAGCGCCAAGATGCTCATCATCATCCCTACACGTCTACCCACATCCGACGCGTCGCCGAACTCCATGACGGGTTGGATAGCAGCGACACGAACGATCCCGATGCGAATCTTCCAAAATAACAGGATTAGCACGAGGATCAATCGGATAAGAAAGCTGGTGTCGTACCCATAGACAAGCGCGATAGCGATCAGCCCGCCCTTATTCACAGCAAACGGCCATGCAAACGTCGTCACGGCCGCCACAGTCGTAAACGGGATCATCACATTCATCGGTCCCACGCGATCCGCGAGCATACCCGCACAGTACCTCCCCAACCCAGAAGACGCATTAGCAATCGACACCAGATAGAACGAGAAATTCTCGTCTATGCCGTGGGAGACAGCGGAGACGTCGATGTATGTGAGGACGGTGTATATCCCTAGGAAGGACGCGAAGGTGGAGGCGCAGTAGAAGGAGAAGGCGGGGAGCGGAAGGCACGGAGGTTGAAGAGCCCGCCGGGGTAGGGATTGGGGGGAATCGGCGCTTGATGAGGAGGTTGGCGAGGCCGAGGCCGACGAGGAGGATGAACCCGATTATGCGCATTGTCCATGGAAAGCTAGGGAGTGTTAGGGAGGAATACGAAGAAAAGGTGGAGACGTACCCGACTTTAGGAATGAGGTTCCTCGCAGCGATGGGGATGAGCGTGCCGCCGAACGACGAGCCCATGGCCATCAAACCCATCGCGAGGCCTCTCCTTCGTTTGAACCAGTGTGCGATCACGGCCATGGTGGGGTTCATGATCCCTCCACACGCGAGCTGTGAAATACTCATGAGCATACGCACCGGAAAACGAACGGAAAAGGGAAAAGGACGCACACCAACGGCGAACCCTTGACAGAGCAGGAACTGCCAGTATTCATGGCACTCTGCGACGAGAAACGTCGCTATAACAAGGAGCGCACTGCATCCCAGAAGCAACGGACGGAAGTAGCCCAAGTCGAATAGACGGCCGGCGAATAACCCAGGAAGGAAAACCAACGAGTACTGTACGGATCCTATCCACGCTCTAGTACACACATTCAATTCAGCCTTCACTCGCTACATCAGAAGACACTGTGGATAACGCACATATTAGACGGCGGCGTATCCTTCAAGATGTCACTCTGATAATACGACTGAAAAACCTGCAAGCATGTCCAGTCAGCACCCAGCCTAATTAAACGCGCTCCGCAGACGTACACCCCACGAATTGACGTATCCGAATCTAGTAAAGGAAATAAGCTTCCAGTGAACGTGGGGAGAGCAGACGACGACACAACCTGGGGGAACGCTTACGTCGTGAACGTGTTGCACATTGCCTACATACATAATGACAATGAGCGGACGCAGATTGAACACGGTATACGCACCCCAGTGACGACCAACCACGCCCTCAAGCCGCCGTCTGGGAAATCCGAGTAGTCGTGGACAGGGACGTGCTCGTCCACCGTCGCATCGGAGTCGTCTTTCTCGTCAATGGGAGCAGACATCGTGCGGGGAAGTGTGGGGGCAGACTCCAGAGGGTAAATAAAGGCTTATAAATGAGGGGGCAGGGCTGAAAACTTTACCGGCGGGATCAACATCTGATGGCCATGTGCGATGGATGATGGAAACGCAATCTATTTTTGCAGGAGAGCCATATATGCCGAATTGTGGGCGCTGATTCAGTTACTACTTGTAGCCGTCTTATTGGTAAGTACCTCAGCCCAAGCCATTCCTTTCACGTTTCGCCTGGATCATTCAAGTCTGCAAATACAAAAAGAGTTCAATTCAATCTCCACTTACTTACAACAAACGCTTTCCCCCAACCACACCTCACACATCCAGATCCACCACCGTCGGCCTATGATCGCTCGCCAACACGCCATCGTCGCCCCTCACCTCGTCCACCCCATACGCGTCCGCCGCCCACCCGCCGTTGCTCCCCCAAACACGAAATCGATCCTTGTCCACGGCCCCGCAGTAGCACTATTCGGGGGCGTGAAGCCCGTGTAGGTCGCGTACGCCTCGGAGACGCGCGCGCGGTCCACCTGCGCTCTGAGATCCTGCATAACAAAGCCCGGCTGCTCGTCAGCGCCCACGGCGTACGTCGCGGCCCATGTGGCGTTTATAGTGGAGACGGGCGGGAGGGCGCCTGTGATGATGCGGTATCCTTCTGATGAGTTTCCCGTTGGGGGGCTATACACAATCCTTTCAATCATCATTATGACATCAGCACACGCCTGGACGCACCTATTAAAATCCCCCGAGACGAATACCGCGCCCTGTGAATGGACAGCCTCATACCGCGCCCTCAACAACAACATCGACGCGCCCAACTCCCTCTGCTCGTTCGACTGGTCGTCAAAGTGCGTATTGAGCAGCGTCACGTTCTTCTTCCCCCCATTGGCATGAAACCGGGCATACGTAGCCAACCTTACGCTCCCCGCGCCCGGAAACCTGCTCGGCTCGAGCGGCGTCTGCGAGAGCCAGAACGTCTCGTTGGCTTGTAACTCCAGCTTCTCGGTGTTCCAGAATATCGCGCTGTACTCGCCCGACGTGACGCCGTCGTCCCGGCCCACACCCACATGCGCCCACTGCTCGCCAAAGAGCTCTTGCAGGTCGGTGACCTGGCGCACGAGGCCTTCCTGTATACCTCACACACACACACAATTAATGGACGTGATTTTTAAAAGGTAGGAGGAGCTCACCAAAAACATCCACATCCATGCGCTTGAGCCACTCGGCGACGCGCACGCGGCGCGTGCTCCACGGCTGCTCCGCGCCGTTGCTGATCGCGAGATACTGCGGCTGGTCGAGCGGCGAGGGGAGCGCCGCGAGCGTGTCGGCGACGGAGATGGAGTTGGGCTGCGAGTCGTACCGGAGGTTCCACGTCGCGAGGCGCAAAGCCGAGCAGGCGAGTGCGAGGAAGGGTAAGGAGCGCATGGGGAAGGAAGGACATGTCATCCCCACTCTCCGCGGCTTAAGTAACGATGGGCATGTGGCACGTTGGCATGACATGGTGAGTATTTACGACTCGGCATCAGAAGACGGGTGATTAAAGCCTAAGGACGCGCAGAATGGTTAGATTAAGTATGCCTCAACACCAGTTGAGAGAAGCAGTCGCACGTTGGTAGCAGAAGTAGCAGATTTAGAAAGCTCTCTTCGACCGACGCAGAAAGCTTCTGATGCTGGATATCAGAAACGAGGTCCACGGGCCAAGGCACGTTCGTCCAGAGAGCACGAGAAGAGAATTTGAAAAGTGGAAAGACGGGCAGCGTGCAACGAAACTAAAAGGAGATGAACAGCAATCCGTGATCGTGACGAAAAGAACGGTTCACGTGGACGAGGTGTGGCGATGAAGGTGGCAGTGCCATGCAGCAATTGTACAATAATTAGTCCCTATCAAGTGTATACGTAGATGATGGTGGTATGCGTATATCGTAACGCGAATCCTCTAGTGGTACTAGCACGCGCACCCCCCTGTGGGTTGTTCTGGGGCGCCAATGACCTGCACTCCGCCCGGGACACCACCGCGTCCATGATCCGTGCGCCATCCGTTGTGTTGGTGGTGCCTGCGCAGGTGGATGTTAGTGTGAAAAAGAAAAGAGGGAAATGAAACGCACCCCTCGCTATATTATTGAGCAAAATGCGCTTAACAACCTCGGTAAACGCCTCGGTGACACCGACATCGGTCTTGGCCGAGGACTCGACAAAGAAGCACCCCATGCGAGTGGCGAATCCCTGCCCCTCCGCTGTGGATACTTGGCGGGAGAATTCCTATACACGATCAACACCAACATCGATATTAGTAGAAGCAATGAAACGGACCTTGTCCACTTTATTCCCGACGACAATCTTGACCACGGCATCCCTGCCCTCTCCGCCAAGATAAGTCTCGAGCTCGTCCCACCACCTGGGGAGACTCTCAAAGCTCTCGCGACTAGCGACGTCGTACACGAGGACGACGCCCTGTGCGCCGCGGTAGTACGAGGCGGTAATGGTGCGGAAGCGCTCCTGGCCGGCTGTATCCCATATACTGAGTTTAACATCTATTGGTGGTTTCTGTTCGTCATCCAAAGCGACACTCATCCTGTGGACCCTAAAATCGACGCCGATGGTAGCCGAGGCTTCGTCTTCAGGGAGCCACGCCTCGTCGCTGAAGCGCAGGAGCAGAGAGGACTTGCCGACGGAAGAGTTGCCGATGAGGAGGAGCTTGATGTTTATGGGTGCTGCTTTTGTGGGTGCGGGTTTGGGCGGGTGCGCGTTGGTCGTTGGTGGCATGATGGGTATCGTCGTGTGGGGTATGTGCGCGTGATGGTGGTCGTAAACAAAGGGCGTGGATGATGGACAGGGGCTATATGACGCACAGCAAAGAAGGGTTAGGGTTTGGACGACTTTGTTTACGACGACGACGACGGAGATTTTTGGTCTCGGGACCGAGCCTGAGTCAGCGTAGGACGTGCCTAGAATTAGGCGCCAGATGCGGGCGTCCTCGCCTATAGTCCATCCAGCGTTCATGCTCGAAGCACCAGGGCCTTCCACAACCGACATGCCGCGTCCGTTCAGGAGTGACCAGCAGGA